CGGACGAGGCAAGCGCGATCGAGGACAGTTTGCGCATCGCGTACGGTCATTTCGAGAAAAGGCGAGGCCCGCGGCGCGAGTTGTCGGTGTCGCGGCAGTGGCTGGCGCAGCTTCGACCGGAAGGTTTCGTCATGATCGGCGCGAGAGCGCTGGGCGGAGCTTGGCGGGGTCGTTCGGCATTGAGCGAGCACTGCTGGTGCCGAGAGTCATTGGCCCGCGCTTTATGACATGCGGACTGCGACCTTTGATCTCGCGCGCAAGTCTTTGCTGCGATGGCTTGTTGCCGCGATCGCTTCGCCCGCGCGTTCTTCGCATCAGGCGCGCAGCGGTCTTCTGCGTCAGCTGAAAGAAGGGGAGGCAATGTACCGAGCAGCGCACGCACTCGCGGCATACGCGGCGGGCCCTAGCAGGCCGCGAGCGCCAGCGTCGGCAGTCGCGGCAGGGGGGCGCGCCCTCCGCGCGCTACGGGGTCTCGGCTATGACCGCGGCGCGGACCGGAAGGCCCCACTGCGACAAGGGCGTCGTCGGCAGCGCAGCCCAGCGCGCCAGGAGCTGTGCGAGCCCAGACTCAAGCGCGAGGCGCGAGCCAGGCGATGAGAATTATCGTCGCGCCGATCGCGCGACGGAGGTCGCAGCTTTCCCGGCGCCGCGTTTGCGGTTGGAACGGCGCGCCGCGCCTGTCGCGCGACTTTTTTGGAGGGCGGCGCCGTGGATCAGCTCTTCGGCGTCGATGCGTCGAAGAGGTGCGGCGCTCCGCCAGGCGCGCGAAGGGGCACGGGGCCTCGCATGCGCGACGCAACGCGCTTTTACTTGCTTTCGCTCAAGCGCAGGCCCTGTGGTGTGCTGCCAGGGCTGCTCCAGTCCAATGGCTGCAGGACGATCCACGGGCCGGCCCGCCGCGCCGGGGCTTGGCGCTCGCTCCGAGGCGCTAGCGTCCGCATAGGTCTTGGCTTGGGCGGCGGCCTTCTCCAGGCTTTCCAAGGGCCCTGCGTTGCTTCGCCGCGCGACTGGGCGGGGGCGCGCGCCTGGGGGGGCGCCTCGCGCATGGTGCAATCTCTCTGGCCGGCGCCGGCGCCGCGAAGGCTGGTCGTTCGCCCGAGTGGTGCGATCGTTCGCGCGAGTGGGCGCTGCGCCGCCAGGCCGCGATCGCCGCCATCATTCACGCGGTCCGCGGCCGCCCGCGAGCCGCTGCGTCGCGGTGGCTCGCGGCCGCTCTTGCTGAATCTTAGGTGCCGCCTCTGGTCCCGCCGCCAATCTGGAACAGCGCGATCGCGCGCTGCGCCGCGCGGCGATCGCGATGGCGCGGCCTGGCGAAGCGCTCGCAGATCAACCGCTGCCGTGCGGCGCCCTTCAGAGTACGCGTCGCGCGGCGCGCCGTGGGCTCCGACGACGTGCGTTCGCTATTCAGCGCCGATGGTCACAGGTGCGCGGCCCTTATCCACGGGGGCTTCGTGCCCCCCCCGCTGGGCCCCATTGGCGGTTTCCGAAGTTCCTTTGGGAATCCCAGGGGGTCTTTTGATTGACCCTCGTCTGCGTCGCATTGCCTTGATGCGTTCTCCTCCAACGCCGCGAAGTTTTTGCGTGGTTTCATTTTCGCCGCTTTCCTTTCTTTGGAAGCATCGCGTAGCTGCGCGTTGCGATGCATTCCGAGTCTGCGATTTGACTTGCTGTGCTTTGCATTGATTGGCATGGTCAGTCTATGTATAATGTTGCGTTGCGTGTCTTTGCTTTGCTCCTGGCTGGTCGGTAGCAGTGCAATCCATCGCGTGGCTCTGACTAGCATCGAATTGCAGCTTTATGTTCGGTGGCCGTGCCTCACGCGTCGCCGCGCATCATTGCGTTGCTTTGCGTTGTTGCGCGTTGCGGCGAGTGGTTTTTAAATGCTGCGATTTGTTTTGTTGTAGGCCCACGGCGGCAAGTCCGCTCGCAGACGCGGACGTTCACCGTTGTGGGCGGGCACAAATCGGCCACGGTTGCGCGTAGGTCGCGCGCGCGGCAGTGCGACGCGACCGCGGCCTCGCTGCGCAGGCGCGGGCAATCGCGCCGTCGCGCGCCAGGATTGCGCGTCGCGGGGGGGGGGGGTCGCTGCCCCGCGGCGCGTGCGCTTCGCAGGTGATTTGCTAGCGCCGGGGTTGCGTCGCCGCGGGGGGGGTCGCTGCCCCCGCGGCGCGTGCGCTTCGCAGGCGATTTGCATTTGGAGGAGGCGCCGCGCGCGCGCCCCGCGCGCGCGCGCGCGGCGGGTGCCTCCCTGGCGCGCGTTCTTTCTCTTCTTGTGTGTGTTGCGTGTGTGTGTGTGTGGTGCGTGTTGTGTGTGTGTGTTGCGTGTTTGTGTGTGCGTGTGCGCGCGCGCGCCGCGCGCGCGCTCGCGCCGCCGCCGCTCCATCGGCGGGCCGCCCCCCCTCTCGCGCAGGTTCCTCTCCCCCTCTGCCCCGCAGATTGGCCGCAGGCGGGAATTGGGCCGCGCCCCGCGCTCGGGATTTGAGCGTGGGGCGCGCCGCGCGCGCGCGCGCCGCCGCCGTCGTTCGCGGGCTCCTCCTCTCCTCCTCTCCTCGCGGGTCGCCTCGTCTCTCTCTCGCTCTCTCCTGCTTGCCTGCCCTCCGTGCTCGTCCCTCGTGGCCTGTTCGCTCCCCCGCTGCTCGCGTGTGCTCGTTGCCCCTCGTGCCCTGCTCGTGCGCCGTGGCTGCCCCTGCTCTTCGCTCGCCTGCGCGCCCTTGTGTTTGCTCGTCGCCGCGTCCTTTTTCGCGTCCGCCTTTGTCGTCGCCTTGTCGCCCTCGCGTTCGGCTGTCGCTGTTGCCTCGCGTGGGGTCGTCCTGGCATGTGCTTGTCGGCGTGCTTGCTCGCTCGCTCGGCGTCGCGTTGCCTCGCTTTTCCCGTCGCCGTCGCCCCTGCGTGCCCCCTTTGCTTTCCCTTCCGCCTGCCGCTTGGCGCCTGCCTTGCTGCTTCTGCCTTCGTGCCTGGCGGTTGCCTGCTTGCCTGCCTGCGCCCTCGTCGTTTTGCCGGTGGCTCGTCTCTCTTGGGCGCAGGCCCTCGCTGGCGCGGGCCCTGTGGGCACCTCGCTCGCGTCGCCTTGGCCCTTCGGCCAGGCTGTGTGCCAGGCTCGCGGCAAGGGCGCTCCTGGTCTCGGGTAGGGCGCAGGCCCCAGGGCCAAGTTTCGCGCGGGGGAGGGCGCAGGCCTTTGGATCCCTGCGTTTTGGGTCGGGCGCTGGCCCCAGGCCCCGATCGCGCGTAAGGGGGAGGGCGCATCCCGTTGATCCCTGTCTTGGGTAGGGCGCAGGCCCCAGGACCCGATGGTGCGAAGGGGGGAGGGCGCATCCCGTTGATCCCTGTCTTGGGTAGGGCGCAGGCCCCAGGACCCGATGGTGCGAAGGGGGGAGGGCGCATCCCGTAGATCCCTGTCTTGGGTAGGGCGCAGGCCCCAGGGCCCAGTGGTGCGAAAGGGGGAGGGCGCATCCCGTTGATCCCAGTGTGTCGGGTAGGGCGCAGGCCCCAGGACCCAACTGTGCGAAAGGGGGAGGGCGCATCCCGTTGATCCCTGTCTTGGGTAGGGCGCAAGCCCCTGGGCCCCGTCTTGCTGGGCACCGCTCTCCTCGTGGGTCGGCCCGCGGGCCTTGTCTCGGGCAGGGCGCTGGCTTCTGGCTCCTCGTCCTGTGTGGGGGGGGGCGCTGGCCCCTGGCACCGCGTCTTGGGTAGGGCGCAGGCCCCAGGACCCAAACGTGCGAAAGGGGGAGGGCGCATCCCGTAGATCCCTGTCTTGGGTAGGGCGCAGGCCCCAGGACCCAATTGTGCAAAGGGGGAGGGCGCATCCCGTTGATCCCTGTGTCGGGTAGGGCGCAGGCCCCAAGACCCCGTCTGGCTGGGCTCTGGCTTCTTCTTGGGAGAGCTCCCGGGCCTTCTCGTGGGTTGGGCGCAGGCCCCTGGTCTTCCCCCTCTCGTGAGGGGCGCAGGCCTGGTCGCCACCTCTTGGGGTCCCGCGCAGTCTCCGTCCTGTGCGCGCTCGCGCCGGCAGCTCGCCGAGTTCGGGCGCCCAAGCTGTCTCGCGCCGCGCGGCACCGCTCTTCGCGACGGGCGACCTCGGCAGTTTTCTTGGCGCCTTGGACGGCGCGTCGGCGCACGAGGCCGGTTGGCTCGAAGCCACGGTGACCGCGCTCAAGGGCCAAGGTGTGGCGACGATCGCCGATTTAGAGGGCGCGGCATTCGAGGATTTCTCTTTTGCCGACAAGGAGCTCGACGCCGCGCAGAAGCGCCTCGTGCGCGCGGGGATCACCGCGGCGAGCACGCCGGCGCCGGTGGCTGGGGGCCCGGCGGCGGCCGCCCCTCCAGCGCCCTCGGCGGCGGAGAACGCGGCCGCCCTCTTGGCCGCGTACTCTTGGGCCCTCTCCTCGGCAAGGCGTCGCTGGCCAACCTCCCGCAAGAGCTCTGGCCCAGGCGCGCTCGCGCGCGCGCTGGTTCTCGCATCTGGCCCCGTGCGCCGGTAGCTCCGACATGCTTGACGCGTTGAACGCGAAAGTCTTGAAGCGGCAGAAGAAGGAATCCAGCGAGACAGCGCGCGTCTTCCTGTACTCGGACATCCGCAGGTGGGTGCCCGAGTGGGCCCGCTCGGGCCCTCGCGATTTCGAAGAGGAGGCTGACGGATCGTCCGGCGCCAGCAAGGACATTCGTGACCTCGCCAAGGCTCGTGCCGCGCGCGCGTTGCCTGGCCCGCGCGCGGGCGCTCGCCCCGCAGGAAGTGGCGGCGGTGAAGAAAGGGCCCGAGGAGAAGGCCTACTTTAACCCTCTGCCAGTGGCAACTGGCTTGGAACCGGCGCCACCTGCCCGTCGCGCGCCCCCCCCGCGCGCCTGCCTGTTTCGCGCCGCGCGCGGCAGGTACATGGTCGCGCTGGTCGCCACGGGCCAGCTGGGCTGAGGTGCAGGCGCATCGCGACAACTGCTTGAAGGTGGCGGTTCAGGCTGCACGCGCGCGATTTCTCGTCGCTCTCTGTTCGCCGCGCGTTGCCGCGCAGGCGGCGGCCTCGAAGCGCCGCGTGCACCTCGGTATCGTGTACGACGAGGAGGCGCGGAAGGCGCGCCCCTGCGGTCGTGCTTGCGCGGCGCCCTGCGTCTGTGCCGGCGCGTGGCTGCTATGGGCCGATCAGCTACGCTCGGGGGACCCAGATTTCAAGCTGGGGAAGACGATCCTGCGGGTCGACCCGCGCGCCCCACAGCTGGCGAGGGATGCTTGCGACAAAGAAGACGGCGCCACCCACGCGACGGCGAGCGTCGCGCCGCGCGGATTCGCTTCTGCCACATTTCTCCGCCGTTCCCGCGCGCGCAGGCACCGGCGGCCCGCGCTCCCGAGAAGGCGCGCGGGGCGGGCGGCGCCAGCCAGCCGTGGCGCGCCGCGCAGAGCAGGAGCAGCGGCTCCTGGGGCAGCGATTGGCCGAAGGGCCAGAAGCGCGAGCGCTCGTGGGGCAGCGATTGGAAGAAAAAGGACACGAGGAAGGCACGGACGCCGCCGCGCCCGGCGCAGCGCTGAGCGCCGCCCTGGCAGGGCGCGCGCGAGCCCCCGCAGGGGTGGGGCCCCTTCAGCCGTCAGAACGGCTCGCGCGCAAAAGCCTGCCTCCGCCCGCGCCGGGTCGGGGCCGTGACCCGGGCGCGCCCGATAGTTCTACGCTTTGTCGCTAAAAATGACCCCGTGCGCCGTGCGCAGGACCCCCACTCGTGTGCTGGGACATGCCGCGTAGGCTGTTGCCGCGGAGGCCGCTTCGCTTTCCGCGCCGCGCTGCGAGTGCCCGGCTTGGCCGCGGCCAGCCTGGGCGGGGCGTGCGGGGGAGTTCCGCGGGGCAGCGTGCGTTCCGAGGGCGCTTTTCGCTACGCTTTGGCGCCTTGTCCACGTCCGCGGTTTGCAATCTTGTGCAATGCCTGCCGTGCCGGCGCCGCCCCCGTCGCCCGCGTCTGGCGCGCGAAAGCGGGCGGCGCCTGGGGCTGCATGCGTCGTCGCCAAATCTCGCAAGGCGCGCTTTCCCGGCTCTCGGTCGCGCGCGAGCCATCGGCGCGCGTCAGGTGATGCCGGCGCCGCCAGCGCCACCAGGGCCGCAATTCAGGAGCGATTGGTCTCGGCGTTGCAGCGACAGCGCGTGGCGCGACATCTGCGTCGCGGCCGGCGGCTGTAGCGGCGGCGACGCGGAGAAACTTACCTTTTCTGGCAAGGGCGCTGGACGGCGACCCCGCGCTCTGGGGCAAGTGGCGGCCCGCCGCGGCCTCGGCTTTGCCGCCCACGGCCGCTGAGGCAGTGCGGTGGGCCGCGCAGACCGCCCCCGCCGACGTGGTGGCTTTCCGCGAGGGCGAACTCGCGGCGCCTCGCGAAAGGGATCGGGCTCTCCGGGCCAGTGGCGCCGTGGAAGAATGGTTCCGGGGGGTGGACCCCGCCATGCGGCGCGTCGCACAGCACGAGAACGGGCTTCTCTGCGCAGAGATCGCGGAGCGCATTGCCTTCTGCGACCCAGGCTGCGTGGAATTCTTCAGGGCGGGGGCGCCCCTCGTCGGCGAGCTCCCGCGGTCGGGCCACGGCAGCCCAGAGGTGTTCCCTCCCCGTCTGGGCATCGCGGAGCTGCTCGCAACGCCGAGTCGACAAATCGCGACATTTCCTGTGGCCTCCGCGACGGCGCGCACGGCGACGCCATCCTCCGCAAGACACGGGACGAGGCCGAGCTGGGGCGCATCAGTTGCCCGGTGCCGCTCCGCGACGCGTGCCTGGACGGGGCAGTCATCGCTCCGAGGTTTGCGGTTGAGCAGCTCCGCGAAGACGGGCCCTCGAAACTCCGGTTGGTCGACGACATGACCAAGGCTAGGATTAACGAGGCGACGCGGCCTCAGGAGCGGCTCCACCACGATGCCGTGGACGCGCTTTTCGAAGCAGCTCGCATCTTCCAGGAAGTTGCGGGGCGGGCACCCGCCCTCTGGAAGGCAGACGTCGACGCTGCCTTTCGTCGCGTGCCCATTCGCGCTGAGCACCGCCGATTCGCTTGGATCGTGTTCAGCGCCGCCGGGCAGGTCTGGGCGGCGCAGCACGCGGCAGCGCCCTTCGGGGCCGCGTCGTCGGTGCGCAGCTGGGCGCGAGTGGGTGCCTTCATCGCGGAGGCGGCGCGCGTGCTCTTGCGGATCGCCGCGCTGCGATACGTGGATGATTATTTTGGGCCGGATCACCCCGAAGTGGTGGAGCACGCAGCAGCGCAGCTGGCGGAGCTAATTCAGCTGATGCTCGGCCCAGGCGCGGTGGCGCCGGACAAGATCGCCCGGGGGTCCCCGCTGGTCATCCTCGGCCTCGAAATCAAGGCGGGGCGGCCTTGGCGCGACGCGCCGGCCGGCCGGCTGCGCGCATCGCCAGGAGCTGCCGCGCGCGTTCTGCGCGCGTCCCGCACCCGCGAAGACCGCCAAGTGGCAGCGTGTCATCGGCGAGGCGCTCGCGACGCGCGCCCTCGCGCCAGGCGGCTCGCGCGCCCCCCCTAATGTGTTGGGACCTTGCGTTCGCTGTGCAGGCGCATCGTCCAAGCTGGCCTGGGGCTTGGCCTGGGCAGCGTCGCATCTCTTCCGCCGCCTGGGGCGCGCCCTCCTCAGGCGCGGCGCTGCCCCCGCGCGCCCGGGGGGGCGGGGCGCCGCGCTTCGTGCTCGCAGGCCGTAGTACGCGCAATCGCATCGCGGGGCATCGAAGGCCCATGAGCCGTTGATGCTTGCCCTGCAGTGGTGGCGCGAGGTCTTGGCCATGGACTTGTGCCAAGCGCGGCCGTGGGCCGACAAGGCGCGGCCTCGCGCAACTCTCTCCGCGGACGCGTCGGGCCAACCACCGTGCGTGGCCGCGGTGCTCGTCACCGCCACGGGCATCCGTTTCACTTCCATGGTCGTCCCGGATTCCTTGATGGCGTCGTTCCAGCGTCGCCGGGACAACCAGATTCAGGGGCTGGAGCTCCTGTCTATCGCGCAGGGCATGTGCACCTTTGCAGGCATTGCTTTCGCGTGCGACTGCCCGCGCCGGCGGGCAGGTCCGGCCCCTCGTCTTCGCTGCGCTCAGGGGAAGTGCAAGGTTGCGACTTGCATATTTACAGCGACAATACCGGCGCGGAGTCTTGCCTGCGGAAGGGCGCCGCGAAATCCTTCGACCACTCGTGCATCGTCCACTCCATGTGAGGCGCGCGGTGGAGCTCGACGTTGACCTCGCGGTTTTCCGCGTGCCCACGGCTGAGAATCTGGCCGATTTGCCTTCTCGGCGCGCCCGTGCGCGCCGCGCGGTGCTGCAGGCTGGCCGCGGGCGCAGCGCGTCGCAGGGGGGGCGACGAACTCCTGCTGCGCATCGGCGCGGTGCGCACGCGCCCGTGGCTCGACGAAGAATTCTGGCACGCGGATGCCTGGGGCGCTCTCTCTGTGGCCCGCCTCTTCGGCTAAACCGCTCGCCATGTCGCGCCCGTGTGCCATCTTGTGCGTCGGGGCGTCGCGATACTTAAGTTTGGGCGCGGCAAAGCGTTCGGCGCGCCGCCGCGCTTGTCATCCTAGGGCCCCGCGTTTTGTCGCAAGCGGAGTGCACGCGGCCAGTGCCTCAGGCGCGTCGCTCGCATTGTCAGGCGTGTCGCGCGGCATCATGTCGTTATTCCTTGAATTGTGTTCCTTGCGCCCGACAGCGCTCCGGACGGCCGTCGCCTGGGCTGCTGATTTCCTGGCTGAGAACGGCTTCGCACGAGCCTGCGAGCTCGCCAGTGCAGACGCCGCAGACCTGGAAGGTTGGCCGGTCACCGCGCAGGCACCAATGTCGAAGTCCTGCACGAATTATTCAGAGCCGCGAAGATTGCTGCGCGCCGAGGCTCGGCTGCGCGTGGGTTTTTGGCGCGCGCGGCCTCCCCCCCCCCCGCCGCGCGCGAACCTCGCAGGCGCGCCCGTCGCCGTGGGCTCGGCAGTTGGAGGGCGCGCGCCCGCCCGCAGCCGGTCGCCGGCGAGACGCGCGGCGCCGAGCGCCCCGGGGACACCCCCTGGGCCGCCACAGGCGCGCGTCATCGGCCCCGCGCGCTTGCGCATGCCCGCGCGCCGTGGCTCGCGAGGCGCCCGTCCCGAGCGTCCTCGACCAGCTGGGCGCGCCGGTCGCGCTGCCAATAACGCGCGGGCCCCGGGCGGCGCTCGCCGAGGCCGCTGCTCGCCTCCGCAGTCTGGCGGGCGCGGCCCGCTGGCGGGAGGAGGAACGCGTTCGCGCTATGCTGCCTTCATGCGCACGGTCGCTCCCAAGCGTGAGAAGCGGCCTCAAGTGCTGGGAGGCCTACTGCATCAGAATGTTGAAATACCCGTGCATGCAGCTCCCGCCAGCCTGCGCGGACCTGGTCGCCTGGAGCGCCCTCTTTCGCTGCGGGGAGACGTGCGCAAGTTACTGCAGCTACGTTAAGATCGGCTGCCTCCTGACTGGGGTCTGCGTCGCCGTGTTCGACCGCCCCGAGGTCAGGCGTGCGCGCGCCGCCGCCCGGGCGCGGGCCGATTGGACTCCGCGCCCGCGCTTGTTCATCCGTAAGAGCGCGGTCGCCGCGCTGGTCGAGTTGGGCGCGCGCCGCCCCGAGTGGCTCCGCGCGTCGATGCTTTTCCTTTTCGCCTACACGTTCTTGTTGCGTGCTCCCAGCGAGGCGTTGCCGGCCGTGCGCGTGGCCGACGCCGGCGACGCGCCGCCCTTTCAAGCGGCGCTAGTGCTGGGCAAATCGGAGCTCACGCTGCTGCTGCGGCGGCGGAAGAACCGGCCGCAGGGCAGTCGCCTGTCGCGGAAGTGCTTGTGCTCATCGTGCCGCGCCACGTGCCCCGTGCACACCCTGGGCCCCTGGGTGGCGCGTTGCGGGCTGGGCCGCGGGCTCTTCGGAGGCATCTCGGCGGCTGCTGCGCTGCGGACCCTGCGCGAGATGCTCGCTGCCCTCGGTGTCCAGGGGGCGAGCCTGTTTCGGTTGCATGACCTCCGCTGGGGCCACGCCAAGGACCTGCAGGAGGCTGGCGCGACGCTGGCCGAGATTCTCGCGGCCGGGGAGTGGCGGTCCTGCGCTTTCATGGCGTATCTCGACCGTGACGATCTGGACAGGGGCGCGGTCGTGGAGGCGGGGCCGCGCGCCCTCCGCCCGCGCCGCGGCGCGCTGCTCGCGCCAGGCGCGCATGCTGGAGTCGGATTCGGACGAGGGTGCCTGCTAGGCGCCGGCGGCCAGCGCCGCCACGTTTCGCTTCTGTGCGTGGGCGGGTGCGCGCGACGGCGCCCGTGCTCTGCCCCCGCGCGTTCGGCAGCGGGTGGGCGCGCGTTGCCGGCCCGTGTCGCACGCGTGCCGTGTGGCAGTGGGTCTGCACGCAGGCGTGGCGCGAGGCCGCCCAAGCGGCGGTGCGTCGGGCCTGGGCCCGTCGCAGCCGCCCGCGGGGGGCAGCCTCGCGCCGCGCCGCTCCCACCGACGGCGGCGGCAGGCGGGGTCGAGGCCCCGCGCGCGCGGCTCGATTTGTGGTAGGCCCACGGCGGCAAGTCCGCTCGCAGACGCGGACGTTCACCGTTGTGGGCGGGCACAAATCGGCCACGGTTGCGCGTAGGTCGCGCGCGCGGCAGTGCGACGCAACCGCGGCCTCGCTGCGCAGGCGCGGGCCATCGCGCCGTCGCGCGCCAGGGTTGCGCGTCGCGGGGGGGCTGTCGCTGCCCCGCGGCGCGTGCGCTTCGCAGGTGATTTGCTAGCGCCGGGGTTGCGTCGCCGCGGCGGGGGGTCGCTGCCCCCGCGGCGCGTGCGCTTCGCAGGCGATTTGCATTTGGAGGAGGCGCCCCGCGCGCGCCCCGCGCGCGCGCGCGGCGGGTGCCTCCCTGGCGCGCGTTCTTTCTCCCACCCTCCGCCCTGTCTGCTGCGCGCAGGCGTGGCGCGAGGCCGCCCAAGCGGCGGTGCGTCGGGCCTGGGCCCGTCGCAGCCGCCCGCGGGGGGCAGCCTCGCGCCGCGCCGCTCCCACCGACGGCGGCAGCAGGCGGGGTCGAGGCCCTGCACGCGCGGCTCGATTTGCGGCCCACTGCCGCGCAGCGCGCTTGGCGCGCGTTGCGGCGCGTAGTTTCTCGTGCGCTGCGTTGTGCTGGGTTGCCTTGCGTTGCTAGGTTCGCAGTGCTCCTCCGAAAAACACGGGCTAGCTCTCTGCTTCGCTCGAGCGTGTTGCGCGTCGCGCGGGGCTCGAATCCCCCGCTGGGGGTGGCTTCCGCGGGGGCGGGGTGCCCGCTCGCAGGCCACAATTGTTTCGGTGCCGTCCTGTGCCCGGCGCGGCGGCCCGCGGGTCGCGATCGCCCGCGACGCGGCCTCTCCGGCGCGTTCCAGCCCAGATCACCATGGCCGACTTCGTGCTTGCAGACGTCACGGCGACCCGACGACGCGCGTCGCGGCGCTGGGCCAGCGCGCGCCGGCGCGCCCGGGGGCCGAAGGATTCCGCCCTGGACGGCATCATTGCTGGCTTCCCCGCCGCTCACGCAGAAAAGGTGGGGGAGACGGGCGACGCGATGTTACTCTCCGTCGAAGCGCTTCTGGTTCGGCCCCGCCCCGGGTCGCGCCGTCGGCCGAGGTATAGAGCGCGGGGCAGCGCATCTCGCCTCCGACGTCGCCGCGGGGCGCCCTAGATCGGCCGCTGTTGCTCGGGCGACGCAGGTGCTTCTCGGCGTTCATGAGCATGCAGTGTTCTTCTATATATCCCCGATGCACAGTGCCGCAGTCGGGCGAAGAGCCCATCGCCGCGGGCGGCCGGGCACCAATGTGCCTCCACCTCTGCATCCTGCCGCTGATCACGTGCCCTGGGTTTTGGATCAGCGACGTCGCTGGCCCGTGCTCGATGGTGTCTGTGCCGACCGTGTGTGCGCAAGCGTTTTATTGGAACACGGCCTGGCCCGTCGACGGACTTGCCGCGCGCGGCGAAGCGGCGTC